CTTTTATTAGTTTTGAAAAGATTATCTCAGAATGCTGGTAGCTGCTCATGATGATGTGAGTAAACAAAAACGGCTGTTAGATATGCAGTTAACTCGAAGATGTTTAGTATTTTCAGGAACTTGAATAGTGGTCCTTGTATCTTGTTATTTTTGAATATATAGTCTCGCCATTTTCTTTAAGATCACTTTTAGAAATGTATGTTGAATAGCATACGAAACGTCATGTTAATAAAAATGCGTAAACTGACAATGTTTATCACCGCTGTTTGTGTTTTATTTTTTATCGAACTACGATGGCCCAAGAACAAAAGTCTCTCTAATACTTCCCAAGTTTGATGTGGCCATTTCGTAGTTGCGTAGGGAACTGGGGCGAGTTTCAAATTTAAACTAATCGATAAACTGACACCACCATAAAAAAGGTCATGTTGAGAAAATTAAGAGTTTATATGGTTTTGGGAGACGCTGTCACAAAATTACAGACCTTTAACCATGTTTCAAGAGCAATAACTTGATCCCTGTTCATAACCAATCTCAACATGACCTTTTACCGTAAATCCTCTATTAAGCCTCCTCTCTCAAATAAACCCCCCCCCCTCTTCAGTGGAGGAAAGTAGATAAGACCCCCCGTCTCTATTAAGCTCCCCCACCCCTCCCCTCCATCCTTATTCTTCACAAACAATTAATGTGGACTGATCAGTTATGATTTATTCAGGCTGGAAATTCATATTGTTTTTGGTCTTCGGCCGCATGACCTCCAATTTCATGTGTTGACCTCTTTCAACTTTGTGCTCTAGTTCTCTGTGGATAATTATTACCTTCTTCTTATTGTTAGAAAAAGCAGAGTAACGACCGGTAACCACTAGTCCGTCCTCGAGAAACCGTGCTCCCGTTGATGCATTTCGCTGAATTATATACTGAGCCCCTACCTCAAAAGTGCTTGAAAAAAATAAGCCCCCCGGGGGCTTAACAGAGGATTTACAGTATATGGTGGTGTCAGTTTATCGATTAGTTCAAAATTGAAATTCGCCCCAGTTTCCTACGCAACTCGTTCAGCGTTAGTTTTTTGTCGAAAATGTCCTCGGGCTGTTCTTTGATTGGTGGGATAAGATGACGTCTTCGAACGCGGTGTGTGGTGGAGGATAAAGGTGGAGGATGGTGGAGTTTGTGGATAGGCTTTTCCAGATTCTGCTCCGAAAAAGCTAAAAAGTTGCTAAGAAATATGCCAAAAAGTTGCTCAAAAGTTGCTCAAAATTGAAAAAAGTTGCTCAAAAATTTTGTTAAGTTGCTCGAATATTTTTTAGACAGCATGTCTAATTTTAATACAATTGCTTTGTAATCAACGTTAAGGTACTACTAAGTAACTAGTTACAACAAATTCGGCAAACTTTAGTTGAATCTAAGTGGTTAGTTGCGAAAAGTTAGACAGTAAGTGTAACAAAGCTCCCCTGCTAACTGCAGTTTCAATGGGGTTTTCGAATTCTTCGTCTTCGGAAGACAACGCGGCGTCCGCCATTTTGTTTACACACAGTCCACAGGCTACCCCAACCTCTTTCCCTGGGCTTCCCCCACGAGAAGGGAAAATCCCTGGGAACGAGGTTGAGGCTACCCAAACCCAATTCTTGTAATTAATTACCACATCCACATGATACCCATTCAAAGGGTAAAAATATGAGTTTTACAAGAAAGATGTTTAGAACTTTAACCAAAAGAAATTTAACTTGTCTATTTAAAAAAAAAAAAAAAGAGGAGGTTATTCAGCATTTTGGTTCAAAATAGCCCAAAAGTTAACAAAAAAGTGCTCGTTTTCCGAAAAGTTGCTTGAAGTTGCTCTCTGACAAAAAAGTTGCTCAAAATCCTAAAAGTTGCTAAAACGTTGCTGAGCAGAATCTGGAAAGGCCGCGCCTATTTGTGGAGACAGGTGAGGTGGAGACTGGGGAGAGGTATACTGGTGCACTACACATACATGACGTGCTGATCAACTTCGAGAGTCGAGAACGGGGCGGATAATTTATCCGCCCTGGTCGAGAAGTTCGACCTCTCTTTATCTAGCTGCTGTCACTATCTGCTGAACTCAAAATCCAATCGTGAAAGGTGAGAACTTTCTTTTTTGACCGTTATTATTGGTTGAGTTTTTTTTTTACTGTTCTTGGCGCAACGAATTCGCAGGAAATCTCTGTCAATACAGACCACGGAAATGAAACCTGCTGATCATGCATATTTCGGTCGAGATGAGTTCACAAGCTGCCAGAGTTTAATTTATTTATCGTTCAGACCCCAAAAATTAAACTTGTGCAATAATTCTACTCTAACTGAAAAAATAATAGAGAATTGCCAATTTCGTCGCGTGACACCTCAATTGCATCATCTCATCGCCTGGGAAGAATCAAAAGTCGATTGTAATAAATTAAGTGCGGTTACACACACCACGGTAAAAGCATTTCCCTCCTTAACGAAGCCGTGGTAAATTTTAACGTGGGTTTAGTTTACCGTGGTAACATTTGGTTACTTATGAATTAATTTCCAAGTTAATTTAGATGCTTTCAGAGCTTCATTCGCGCAATTGCGGTATTTTATGTTATGTTGAAGATTTTCGGAGAGTTTAGCTGAAATTTTAAGTGATAATTTAGCGAAGGTAAATAGCATGTTTTTTTAATCTTGGCCGTAGATTCCATTTTACTGTTCAGCTGCATCCCATTGTAGGAGGCAGCTGGCCATGTGGTTAGAGCACTGGACATGCAATTCGGAGGCCCCCGAGTTCAAGTGCCGCTCTGACCACTACTGTAGCTGGATTTGTTCACAGTAGTCTGAGTTCCAATCCTCGGCCATGCTTGTAAATAGCCAACTGGTTTACCTCCGGCCAGTTGGGATTTTTAATCCTGTTAAGTTCAGTTTCAGGCATTTGCTTGGCCCCACTAGCATTAGTGCTATAAATACTGCCAAGGGTAAATAATGGAATTATTATTATTATTATTATTGTTGTTCTACAGAACAGGCCACAGGCATTGCAGCTCTTACACGCACGCAAATTGCGTGCAATGCCCATGGCCTGTACTGTAACATGCATCCAAGTTTACATGTAAAATTAATAGCGTATCATAATTTGAAACCTCGCTTCAGCCAGCAGTCAAGAAATTTATATAACTAGAAATACGTAAATCGCAGGACCACCGAAGGACTTGGGGGAAAGGGCAAGTAAAGCCGAGAAGAAAATTTGTCAATCAAAAATTTGTGATCTATATATAGAAACATCACAAAACTGTTATACCTAAAATGAAAACTAAAGGAAAAGAAAAGAAAAGAAGCAAAGAGAAAAAGGCACTGCCCAGATTCGAACTCGGGCCCTTCAGCACTCTGGGTGATAGCTTACCACTAGGCCACCTGGAACACACACACAGCTTTGTGGAATTTTTATTATTAAAACCTTCGAGCCTTATTAAACATGAGTTCAAAGATATTTTTCACAAGAATGGCTGCATGCAGTTTGGACAGTGAAAACCCAACGTAAATGCATTTCATCGCATTTACATTTAGAGAATGGAAGCCCAACAGTCTAGGACAATACGATACAAACTCGTCTGCGAGCGAAATGTGTTTTGTTACCACGATGTTCGCTCATGTGTTTATAAGGCTTATTATCCAAAATCGCTTCCATTTGCTTTTTAGCATTTGAAATTCATTGAGTGGTGTTCTCTCTGCTCTGCTGTTTGTTGCTGCCGTCTCCATCCATCTTTGTTACTTGCGCCGTTGAATTTCAAGTCAATGTTCTTCACTCCGGAGGATTTTTCAGTGTCTTCCCCTGCGAGGATTGACAATTTGGCGTTCTTGTGTTTGCTGCTCTGTTTGCATGAGAAATAGCTTGAGATTCACCGATAGTAAACATTGTTTTGCAGAGATGATGAAAAGACAGCTCGTCATGAGTGTTTTGGTCATTGATGGGAATTTGAAATCGCTTTCAGTTGAATGTTGCCTAAAAACAAAAATGCGCCGTGATGTCAACTACTGTATGACGTCATGGCGGACACCATCGGATATATTCAAGTAAAGATGAGAGCTGTGAGTTTGCAGCTCGCTAGGACCCATGCGTGGTTCACACACTGCGCACGCGCTTCGTGCACGACAAGATTATAAACTCACTTCGCTCGATGCTCTGTGCGTTGCTTCGCAAGGAACGAGAATCGTTGATTTACAACTGTAGTAAGAGAAAGTGAAAATTTTGACCGCGAAAAGACGTTTTTTAACAATGTCCGTTTCTAATTTTCGTGGTTTTTAAACTAGGAATTATTTTGAATGAATAATAAAACAATTATTGAACTCGGCTTTCGTATCATCTAAACAATTATGGACATTTTGGAGTGTGTTATACGCAGAAAAAAAAAAAAACAAAAGCATCTGTTTATATCCTGAAACCTTCAGTCTCAGTGGATAACACCCTCCTTGATCTCTATAATTCTTCAGATAATACACAGACTTTAAATATTTATCACAGGCATACGCATGTACATTTACAGCCAATAATTGTTTGGAGTGTACAAGTCATTTATAATTATTAACCTGTCTGTTGAGGGTATTGGTCACTACAGACAACAGACATTAACTGTTATTGTCAGACTTAGAGTGGAATATGTGTAGGCTCAAGACTCATGACTTTCACTGGCTGCCTGTCGAGTTATTTGTGACAACCCTAATTTTGCACACAGTAAAATAATTTCAGTCACATAGTTGGATAAGTGCTTATAAATCTCTAGACTTAGTTGACCAAACTGGAAACTACATTTTCTCAGAAAAGCTCATGGGAGAATGTTTTTCTTTTCTCTTTTGTGTGGAATGGGACCCTACATGTACCTCAAAAAGGAACTCAGTTTAACATATTTCTGTGCACATACTTACAGTCGTCAGTGTAGCCCTAGACTGGTTTTATTACTCTTCCTTCTAACACAAAACATCTTCAAAACTTTTCTTTTCCAGAGTTATTCCTAATCCCAAACTGGGTGTCCTTTTAAATGGAAGACACAGAGCCAATGGATGTTGATGACTCCTCTCCCCAGGGTGCCAAAGAAGATCCTAATGTCTGCAGTGCCACCAACAGGTAAAAGCATACTTTGATTGAAACCTGCAGTAATGTATGTAACTCAAGACCTTTAGGCTCTAATGAGTAAAGCATACTACTGGGATGGGCTTACCAGTAATAATTGTGTTTTTCCAATGCAATGTTTTGGTCTTGCTTTTCGTGGCAACCCTAAGTTCCGTCCCCTAGGAGAGGGCCATGCAGCCATGACACAAACAAGTCTGGTTGAGTTCTCTTGAACAGAATTCTACATATGTAGATTTACCTGGTTAATAAAATTGACCATATAAGACCCAGCCACTGGCACATGCACAGACCAGGGATAATTTTTATAACATGAAGTCAAACCTGTATTTATGTTAAGGGTCTCCCTTAGCTTGATGAAAGGTTATCTTAGCATTTAAGAGATAGTATCCATAAAAGCGGTCCAGCTTATGTGGCTTAAAAGAATAGATTTTGCTTATTTCCTGTATACCAAAAGACTTTCATTTATAAAATAACTAAGATAGTATGCACGCTCTGATTGGCTGAGAGGAGTGTTTGCATGAGAGTATGTAAACATGGTTGTGACGTGAGATGTTTTGCTTTTCGCGCGCTAATCACACAAGCACGAATTTGAAAAAGTTTTGGTGATCAAAACTCGACAAGTTTACTTTATTTACCCATTCCTTCGTCGGTTGAAACTTGGAAAATCTTTACAAACAAGCTGTGTCAACTTTTTTTTGCTTAAGCTGGCATTTTAAGCCAGAAAAATCCGTATTTTGGAAAGCATCTTGTTGCAAAACAAGAACTGATTACACGTGCAAGACTTCGTGTACAAGACTTTGCGACTGGTAAGAATTTTTCTTTTAATCAGTGCCATAACAAAGAGTTTTTTTTTTTTTTGAGGAAAGTTATTTTATAAAAGCAATAGGAAACTTTTTTCCGGTGTTTGCCTAGCCTGATATAAACACTCAAGGGGTTACGAGAATTCTTGACAGTTATGCAAACCCTCGACTTCGTCTCGGGTTTGCATAACTGTCTTGAATTCTCCCAACCCCTTGAGTGTTTATATCAGTCTATGCAAACATGGAAAATAGTTTTCTATTGCTTAAGTTCTAACACTAAAACCACAATCCGCTTGATCTGATCTTTTAAATTTATCGAGTTTATCTACTTCGTGAATCTGAACTACATATTAGAGTTTGATGTGAAGTATATGAAATAATTCATTTTTGAACTGCGGTTGTGATGAGAGTGAAGAATGATCATCGCAGTAAATTTTCCAATTTAAGCAATTGGAAAGAAGAAGCCTGAAAAAAATCAGGGCTTCAACGGGATTCGAACCCGTGACCTCTGCGTTGCCGGTGCGTTGCTCTACCATCTGAGCTATGAAGCCACACATTGGGAGCGAGGTCAATTTATTGAGTTCATATCTCCCGTGAGGAGTGAAATGATGTGAAGTATATGAAATAATTCATTTTTGAACTGCAGTTGTGATGAAAGTGAAGAATGATCATCGCAGTAAATTTTCCAATTTAAGCAATTGGAAAGGAGAAGCCTGAAAAAAATCAGGGCTTCAACGGGATTCGAACCTGTGACCTCCGCGTTGCCGGTGCGTTGCTCTACCAACTGAGCTATTTCATTTTTCATTCTTCACTCTCATCACAACCGCACTCTCATCACAACCGCAGTTCAAAAATGAATTATTTCATATACTTCACATCATTTCACTCGTCACGGGAGATATGAACTCAATAAATTGGCCTCGCTCCCAATGTGTGGCTTCATAGCTCAGATGGTAGAGCAACGCACCGGCAACGCGGAGGTCACGGGTTCGAATGCCGTTGAAGCCCTGATTTTTTTGTTTTCAGGCTTTTTCTTTCCAATTGCTTAAATTGGAAAATTTACTGCGATGATCATTCTTCACTCTCATCACAACCGCAGTTCAAAAATGAATTATTTCATATACTTCACATCATTTCACTCCTCACGGGAGATATGAACTCAATAAATTGACCTCGCTCCCAATGTGTGGCTTCATAGCTCAGTTGGTAGAGCAACGCACGGGTAACGCGGAGGTCACGGGTTCGAATCCCGTTGAAGCCCTGATTTTTTTCAGGCTTCTTCTTTCCAATTGCTTAAATTGGAAAATTTACTGCGATGATCATTCTTCACTCTCATATTAGAGTTTGTAGCTCTTATCCCATTCAAACGACTGCGCCATTTTTAAAGTAAAGATGATACTTTAGTGACCCTCTGTGTAGTTAGACTGCTTGCAGTCCGCCTTTTCTCTTAAAATCCATTTAGTTCTTACATGTATCTCAGCCAACGCGATTGCAAACCACGACGTTACGTTACAATAGGGACCTTTAGCATCAGGTTTTTCATGGGAAACGGCAAACCGCAAACCGCAAAATGTCACGTGATTACGGCCTTGCGGTCACGTTTGCAGTTTGCAGTGCACGTTTGAACCGCAGGAAGGGCTTCCAGCGGTAAGTGATTTACGGCAAGGTTTTTTGCCACAAAAAATTGTACAGCCTCGCGTTTAAGGGTATGAACTAGCTTTTTATATCCATTTGCGATGTGTTTGTTGGATTTTTGATCTCGAATCAATGAATTATTGTTGATTTTTGGGTTATTAAAGTGATGCACTTCGACTTGATGAAAACAACATGGCGGCCCTAAACAATGAACGCGTAGTTCAAACCAATTTTATATTCCTTTCTGCTGTACTAACTAAGGAAAGTATTCTGTTCCAATCCAGAGTTAATTTTTTTTTTCCATCTTGTTACTGAATTCATAACTTAACTCAGTCTCTGTTTCGTTCCTATTTTAAACGTATCACTGCGCGAATATCATTTTATTTTGCTTATTTCTTTGAGACTTGGGAGCCCAGGCTTCATAAAGCCTTCTGGTTTCTTCTGGGCTCCCTTGCAACCTTACAATTCCTATATGTATTCCTGTATTGTATTGTATTTTGGCTAAATAAAAATGAACTGAACTGAACGCCTTGCTAAAGTTTGAAATCTCGGCAACGCGAAACTGCAAACGCGTAACTGCGGTTTGCGGTTTGCGGTTTACCTGATGCTAAAGGTCTTTAATAAGGGATGAGGACCAGATGAGAAAAGACAGACTGCGGCCTCTATTGTAGTAAAAAACCCTCCGTCAGCCCAGAAATGGAGTAACTGATTGGTCAATTTTACAGCTGTTGACAGATCATTGACTGGTCTGTGGTGGAGATGCAAGCGATAAAAATAGTCATGCGTCACAACTAACTGCAAACAATTACGAAACTAGTGGTAATATAATAATTGCTTGTAAACTAAAACATTTAAGGATATCTTACAGAAGGAAACTGCTGTAAATTACCTCAAGGGAAAGGAATTCAAGGCAATCTTACTGGATTTAAAAAAGGAAAATTTTTCAGTTGTTTATGTTCTATTTATACATGTATACATTGTATTGACCAACAGCTTTAAAATAAGAGGAAAAATCGTGGTATAAAAGTCCGTTTATAATATTTATTGCAATGAAAGTGAGAACTCACTGTAGAAATTTTTCGCCTGGTAATTGCAGCACAAAATTTCTGTCGTGATCTAGGCCAGTGATTTCTACAGCTTGAATTGAGCGATCTAAGCATCTACTGCACTCCAACTGATTCAATTGTCATTTCACTTATGCTGTTTCACGTCTGCTTGCGAAAAAATCAACAGTCAGTTGATGAACATTTAATGTATAGTTTGTCGATGTTTGAAAAAGGTGGATTTGTATGCAGGTAAAGAAACTGAACTTAGAAAGCAGTCCATGATGCAGAGAATGATCCCAGTGAAATGTGAACCTTGCTTGTTGTTTACGTAGATGAATCATTACTCAAACATAAAAACATACGGTAGCTATATGCTCTTGTTCAATAATTGCTTGTATTACACAAAAGCTGTTGGAAACTAAGCGCCTTTTTTATATTTTCAAGCACAAAAGCATCTGAAGTTCAACTGAAAGAAAGTTTTGTAACAGTGTATGATTAATAGCGGAGCTCCCGCGCGCTTCGCGCGCGCGTAGCGGAGCACCATGGGTAAGAAAATTTGGTAAACTATCCATCTCAGAAAATTTGGTTATGACGTAGCGTACGTCCGTCCGTACGGACTTTCCGGGTAGTGGAAAGTAGTCCGCATGGACTCTTGGGGTAGGGGAAAGTAGAGATTTTTTGGCGGGAAACCGCATGGCGCAACGCGTTAACGTCGCGCAATTATATCGCGCAACTGGTTTTGAAAAAAAGAAAGCAAGTAGAAAGAGTCAGAGCGAGAAGAAGGAGAGAAAATTATAGTGAAAAACGCCGGCAAGCAGAACGAGACAGAGCTAGAATGAACAGACAAAGGCAACGCGAAAGAGAAATACAAAGGCAAAGAGAACGGCAGCAAAATAATGACATGATGACAGAAAGTGTTGTGTTAATGTCACTATGGCCCCGCGCTATTAACATTTTGATTTCAAACTGATCTCGGACTCGAAAATTCAGCCAGTAATTTAAAAATACAAGCAGGGAAGACAGAGGCTTTTCACTTTTCTCACCATAGTCACGCGTTGATCACGCTCTACGACCGTCCAATTTTTATGCTCTGATTGGTCAAAATTTGACAGGTGAGTTCATGCAGAAACTGATTTATACAGCATCTTCAACCTTGTTTACTTTCAGTTTGACAGCTGAAGCTGACAGAGTATTTTGTCAACTTGTAATGTTTTTTACTGTCTTTTTCCACTGGATGCTTAAAATGAAATACAGCTGGTATCAACAGTCTTCTTTGATTCATGGCTGGTTTGTTTAATGAATTTTTGGTCGGGAAATGCGCCGGTTGCCAAAGTTGGAAATCCGATTTCGGATGCATCGCTTTCGTTTTTACCTTGCTGGATGCGGGTTGAAAAGTCCCTCAAGCGATTCTGGCCTTACTTTATAGC